TTGTTGTTGTTGTTGTTGTTGTTGTTGTTGTTGTTGTTGTTGTTGTTCTCGTTGTGGTTGTTCTCGTTGTTGTGGTTGTCGTGGTGGTGGTTGTGGTAGTGGTGGGTGTGGACGTGAGCCCAGCAGCCGCCCACGATGCAGACGAAGCACCCCGGTGCGGCACGCATTTCCAGCATTATTTGAGCCTATGTTGGGCCATGGTGACCCATCTTGAGCCACAAAGCCGGAAAAATGCAAGAAGCAGAAAACACTGTAAAACGCGGGACTGCGCAGGGGTCGGCGGTAGGGGCGGGACTCCACTCTCTCCTTCGGAGAGGAGAGATGCCTACGGCAATGACACGGCCATGGCGGGGCCCCTTGGGCCCCTGGCCGGATTTAAAGGCTTACGCCTGACAGCCGGGCGCCGGCGCACTTGGGTAAGAGAGTTCTGGGTCGAGGCGGTAGGTGTCGCTCGCGGTGTTTGCGGGGTGTGGTTTCGGTGAGGGACCCTCCACGTTTCCATGGGGTCTTCCACGGAGAAGACGGGGGCCGGGGTTTGGGGCACCCCGGCAGCACCCGTCCGAGGGACGGGGGCTGACTGCCCTGGTTGCTTGCAGCAACCAAAAGTCGGGAGAGCCGTCGGAGAGAGAGGAGGCACATGGAGCGCGATGCACGCTGGGAGGCGGCAGCTGTCAGCTGGCAACAAGTGCATCGCTCACGCCAGCCAGCCACAGCCCTGGTGAGGACAGGCAGACGTCGTTCCAGCCTCAAGGACATTGTCTGCAAGTTGATGCGCCAGCGAGGCCGGCGGGGGTGGAGAGGTTGGGGGTCGAGGCGTCGACGCCGCAAGTCGGAGACGCAGGGTGGCAAAGGACTTAGACAGCATGCCACAGAGAGTAGTTAGCAAGAAACAGTCGACACCGGAAAGGGGACAAACAGTCGACGCCGGAAAGGGGAAAGATACAGAGACTGGCGAGACGTGGGCTCAACGACAGGCGAGCCTGTGAACAGAGCAAGAGCATGTGCAAGCGAGAAACAGCCTCCAACCCAAAGACACCAGAAGCAACCAGCGCTGAACTCCCAGAGCGATAGGATAGCCAAGAGTAGAGTGCAAGAGAAGCTAGGAGACGGCTAGGGTTAGAGAGCAACAGCAACCAAGCACACCTGACCTTTTTTATCCCCGTTGAAATTTCCTCTACAAAAAGGGAGAGCTTGAGGCCCTTGCAAAGGGGCTATTTTGTAACGAGGCAGTTTTTGGCACCTATAGAACACCATTTTTTGTAGAGAAATCACCTTGCTGTATGGATGGCTATGCGCCTGTAAGCATAAGATAGCAATCTTGAGGCAGCATCATTTTGTACACGCCCACTCTGGTACATGCCATTTTGTAGATGGCAAACCAGCTTGGGTCAGAGCTTTTTGTAGACCCCAAACTTGGTCCCGTTACAAACGGTTCGCCCCAACCTCTCCCCCTTTGTTTTAACGGGGATCCTTTTTTTTTGCATTTTGTGTTCGGTGTCAGCGGGTGGGCGTGTGAGCAGGGCAGGAGCACGTGCAAAGCAGAGCAACAAAGCCCTCACGCCATGACACCAGAAGCAACCAAGCACACCCGAATTTTTTTTTGTGTCGCTGCTCTGGGTCGGCTGCAGCCATGGAGACCGGCGGCGCCGCGGTGCGCGCAGCTGACATACCGAGAGCGTCGCTCACGGTGGTGTTGGTGGATTCGACGGGCTACGGTTGGTTGCCCGGGCAAAAGTTGGGAGACGCTGCGATGGATTTTCGCAAGTGTGGGGGCGTTGAGACGGTTGCGAGCATTGTTAGTGGGGTCAGCATTGTGAAGGCTGGCAAGAAGGATGGCACGAACATCCTCGACCAGTTCATGCAATGGGTCTTGGACGGCGGGGAAGAGACCCATGGAGGGGACGTGGAGGTGGAAGTGGGCCCGCGACTCCGTGCAAGGGGCACGGTATGAGGCCCTCGGGGACGCGTGGCTGGCATGTGGTGTCCCGGAGTTGAGCAAGAGCATCTTGGAGATAGTCCCTGGTGCCTATGGAGTGGCCAAAAAGGCCTTGCACTTTCTGCCTGCCTGCGCGTCGGAGAGCATGGAGCGGGTAGTGAGGCGGCGCGAGCCGAGCTGGAAGTGCGTCGAGCAGAGCGTCGCTCAGCCGGCGCTGAGGGAGCCCCCGCGTCAGAGCGTCGCTCAACCGGGGGCAGCGGGGCTTGGGTCGCCGTGGTGATCTGTGCCGGGTGGAACTGCAACGAGGTGGAGAATTTGCAGGAGGCATTTGTCGTGAAGCAGCTCTGCGAGACGCAGACGTGGAGCGAGTTCCTTTGGGCCTGCTCGGCGCACTCTAGCAAGAAGCGGGCATGGGCCAAGACGGCGCAGGCCTTGGACTTGGCGCCGCCGAAGTTGTTCCAGACGAACCGGGAGGACCACCCACAAGCTGCAGCCAATAAGGCACAGTTCGCCCAAGGGTTGGAAAGACATTTTGTGGGAGACGCAGAGTGCGTCGAAGACATCAAGAGCCTGGGCGGGTCTGCGCTCCTCGCGCGCTACGAGAGCTTTCAGCAACCGGCCCATAGGGCGGACCTGGACCTGTCCCGGAAGTCCTAGCCACCCTCGAAAAAAAGGTCGCCCAAGCCACCCGAACCAAAGGCACTTGGAAGAACAACGGCAAGGGCGAGGCGCGACCGTTCGGCGGCCTCAACCTCATCCTGACAGGCGATCTCTGGCAGTTTCCACCTGTAAAAGCCACCGCCATTTTCCAAAACCCCTTCGCCGGGGGCGCTTCCTGCCAGGTGGCCGCGCTCCAAAAGGTTTTGCGGTCACGGACTGAATCCGGTCTCCACGCACTCTTCGAGTTGACCACCGAGCAACGTTGCGTGGACCCCTGCCTAAGCCTAGTCTTGAGACAAGCGCGCCACGGTGCCATGTCGCAGGATGTATGGTGCTTTCTCCATGGGTTTCCGACCCGGTACCCAGGTGCGTGGGACTTCGAAACCAAAGTTTGCCTCTGCGGCACGGCTGCCTGCCAGACCCTCCCCCTTGCGTGGGCAACTACCTCTCATCTACCTTGGGAAGCTCGCTTAGAACAAGAATGTCCCCAGTGCCGAATCGAAAGACGACGAAGGTGCCTGCTAGGTCGGGACCCAAAGTCCGCAAAATTTGCGGCGCAACCATTCATCCACGGTCTCAACGCTGCCAAATACATAGCCACTAATCTCAGAGCTCGGGAAGTAGCAGTTAGCCAACAGCAAACCATCCTTTGGGTGATCGCCGCCGACACCCCTCTTTTCCACTTGGACACCGATGCACCGGCTGAGTTGCAAGCTCGGAAAAGCAACTGGTTGCAGCGGCACGACCAAGCCACCGGTGGGATTGTCGGAATCTTGCCCTTGTTGCCTAACATGCCTATACGTATCACCCAAACCTTACCAGAACTAAAACCGTTTGGACTCTTCAAAAACACCCGTGGCACCCTATATAGTTGGACCTTGCATGAACTTGACATTGCACGACTCTCCCGCACGACACCCGGTGCAGAACTCTTGGCGCTCTACGTCCAGATTCCGGGTTCGACATGGCAACTACACCCAGCCCTGCCACCTGGCGTTGCGCGCATCAAACCTACGGTCCAGCAGTGGACCCTTCAGCCAGGGCGCCGTGCGACCATCGCCCGCAGAGGGTTTCCAGTGGCATCCGACTATTCCGGAACAGCGCATTCCTTCATGGGTGCTACGTTGGACGCGTGCACCCTGGACTTAGGTTTTTGGGACACCGCCCCGTCACGGGATGCGCAACTCAGCGCATACATGTGCCTCTCAAGAGTCAAACGGTGCGAGGACGTTTGTGTCACCCAAGCATTTTCCCCGAACCTCTTTCAAAACAGAGAGCTCATAGGTCCACATACATATTTGCAGTTCCACCGCAAAAAGCTTTCCTTAGCACAAGCCAAAGCTCGGTTTGAGAAAGATGCACCCAAGCGAAAGCGTCACCCAGATGTCATGCTCTATTGCCGCAACTGTAGCCCTCGCAGCAATATGCCAGACAAACTCCTACCTCTTCGAGACTTTATCACTGTTTGGGACCGTGACGCATGGTACAAGGTTTTGGCAGAAGGAATGGACCGTCTATGCAGCCAGTGCCGACGCCCGGACTCGCAGAAACAGCCTCCGACACAGCCGGACGAGCCAGCGGCATGTGCATACTGCAAAGGCAAAAGCAAGCAGGGTCCTACAGAGTCCGGGTTTTGTCGTCACTGCCTCGCAACCGAGCGCTTGTCCTGTGCCGGATGCGACAAAGGAAAAAGAATTCACACTAAAACCCTACACCATTTTAGCCCAGAAGAAATTCGTAAGCGAAAAAAGAATAGAGACTTACCACGTGCCCGTTCCAAGAAATGTGCCACCAAGACGGTCTCGGCCACGGCCAAGCAAGGCATCTGCATCCAGTGCGACAAAGCCATCAGTATATCCCATCT